AAACAGAAATAAATCTTTAATTATCAGTCGTTTTTCTAACGGACCGCTTTAAATTGGTCATTTCCCGACGGAGTAAAAAGTCTTGAATACCAAGAAGATAAAAAATAGTAGTTTCAATAGAATTTTAATCTCACCGTAAAAAACAGTCGAACTTCAAGGAGCCGAGTCGTTTTTTAAATAAATTTATTGACAGTGTTCAAACCTAAACATTTTCTTCGACCAATTCAGGGCTTCTAAAGAAAGCCTTGGTTTCCTTTCTTTGTCAACAAAAGCGAATTCATTTTAAATAAAAAATCCGATTATAATGCTAACTGTGAAAAACTTGTCGAAAACGCTCTCATCTGAGTTTTAACTGATAGAGCCACGAATTTCAAGACCTTAGTTCTCTGCCGAGGTCAGATCTGTGTTTTGGGAGCTACCTATGTAGTTTTTGAAAGCATAAAACTCATAAATGTAGCTTAGTACGCTTAAATCTCTCCTTTTGCTTCATAAGAACGGGGAAGCTAAAGAAAAGCCGTCATCAATCAAATATCTCAGCTGAAAAAATGTTTTTAGTTGAGGACGTCGATTTGGCTTTGTGATGGTTGAATATACTGACCAATGAAACAATTATTTATTTCTATTCTTCAACAGCTCAGCAACGAAGCTGTAAAAACATTGTATGGTCGTCTGCGTAGCTTCTTCAGCTTGAAGTTAATTGGCACCTGTCAATAACAAATTAAATAAGCGACGTTAAAAAAAGAACAACACTAGTAATAAAAGAAAATGGGTTTAAAAAATTGAACGACAGCTTTTGAAATAAACAGCCGCGATACTGAAAAAACTAAATCATTAAATTCATTTTGTCAACGTGCTGAAAACTTCTGCCGTTAACTCACGATAGCAGGTAATGGGCTCCTGACGATAGCCTCAGCATAATTTTCTAAGAACTTGTGGCAGGGCCTGATGCGTAAAGTTCAACCTTGTTCCCAGGACTTTTTCCCTTAGTTGGCGGAAAAGGCCGTGGGAACGAGGTTAGCGTAAAGTTGTGTTGGCTCTTACGATCACATACTGACAGGGTGTATTTCTTTTCAGAACTACTGACGTCTTGCAAGGAAATACATGGCAAGAAATTGTAAATAATAATTACTGAAATATCTGAAACTTTGTTTAGTAGATATACATTTAGCTACTGGCTAAACTGAGTACCGCGTAGGTATATTTAAGTGATTATGTTTCGAACGTGATGACTCGCGGCAAAATAAAATAACTCGTGGCAAAATAAAATAATTCGCGGCAAAATAAAATAACTCGCGGCAAAATAAAATAATTCGCGGCAAAATAAAATAACTCGCGGCAAAATAAAATAACTCGGGGCAAAACATTGAACTCACGACAAAACAAAATTTAAAATTATTGTGAGGGTGAGCGGCTGATATCGCTCAAATACTGACTACGTATTGCGTATGACGCTGTGTATTTTAACAAGGCGGATTACGAATCACCTTATATTCGTACCCTGGCCTAAAATTGTATTTCAACCAAAGCCTCTGTTTCTCGAGTCTTTTAAAATTCATTCAAGGGTCAGACACTGACTGCGCATGACACTGTGTATTTCAAAAGATGGGTTACGAAATTGTCCTTTACTGTGAGTCTAGCAAAGAAAGTGTGTTCTTGAATGACAATTTTTTGCTGTATGTGCGGTTTTTTCTTTTGCCGTGCGTCTTTTTCCTTTTGCCGTGACTCTTTTTTCTTTTGCCTCGAGGTTATTTTGTTTTGCTGCGAGGTTATTTCTTTTGCCGTGACTAGGCCTAGCCACAAGTTACCGATGAATCCCAAAAAAGTTGCCGATAAAAGTGTCTAAAATTTGCCAAAAAGTTACTACTTTTTCAAAAAGTTGCCGAAAAGTTGCTGAATTTCCAAAAAGATGGCGAATACTTGCCAAAATTTTTCTGCTTTTGTTACCTTTTTTGGGTGTTAAAGATTAAAAATTCGCACATTGCTTCTCATCAAAACTTTATTTGTCAAAGTCCAGTGATAATATCAGAGGTTCTTTCCATTTCACCTGATCAACAAATAGTCACTGTAATTGTCCGCCATCTTGAAAAACGTGCAACGTGATACCGCTGACCTCGTGATAAGGCATCACAAAAATCAACCCATGGGGGGGGGGGAACT